TGTTTTGTTTCTGCCCATGCTCTGAATATATAATGAATACTTCAAATACTTCATTCACACAAAGGCCTTTATGCCCCTTTTCTCCCTTCAATGGTTCCAGTCAAGAGTAGGCAACATTATGCAATTGGACAATCCAGCTGCAATGAGATTGCTTCAGAGTGGCTGCGGGAAGAAGGACACCTAAGGGGTTAACAATAATATTTTGCAAATTGAGGCAAGTGAAGAAAAAAGTACATTAGCATAAGAAAAGGTAGCCTTAGGGAATTTTCCACTCAAATGTTTGGTGCTAAGAGCAATCCTTGGCAGGAAGGAGGTGAGAGAAGAGAAACCCTAGTGTCAAGGCATTCCTGAGCTGCATCGCCATTGAGTTCATTCTACTGGAGACAGATTGCCCATGGTTACAGATACGGCAAATAATTCTATCTGGGAGGGGAAAGCCTAAACTGGATATATTAAGGAAAGCATCTTGAGTCAATTCTAATGACAAAATAAGAGGATTTCCCAGCAATCAATCCCCAAAAGACTTCCTAAGTATATCAGGACCAGACACAACATGGTTTAGGATTAAAAGGGAAAGTACTAAGTAACGATTTTCATTGTCAGTTAGAATAGGTCCCAAATGTCATGATGAACAACCCAAACTGAACGGTTTCTAACTCATTTCAGGAATTGTGTCGAATTCAGGCTGATTATAAGTTAAAGTTAGTGCCTCAGTTTATCTAGACATTGCATAACTGGGCACCCAAGCTATGACTCCATGGTAGAGCGCATGCCCCACACATAAGGCCTGGGTTCATCCCCGGCATCAGAAAACAAAAACAACAGAAGCAAAATTGAGCATGTTAAATTAGAATATCTAATTTGGGGCTGGAGACATAGTATAGGAGGTAAGACATAGTATAGAAGGCAGACCCTGGTTCCATTCCCAACACCACATATGTTTCCCCAAACACTGCCAGGAGTCGCCCCTGAGCACAGAGCAGGGACTAAGACCTGAGCATAGCCAAATATAGCCTCAAAACAAAATATCCAATTTGGAGTAATTCTCATTTTCTACTAATTTGCAACTATCATCCTTTTCAACTACTTTTCATTCATTGAAAACATTCCAGAAAACACTAAAAGATTCACATGATTTCCTTAATATAAAAAATAGACATAAATCAGTTGTTACTGTTTCTCTAAGATCCCTTGAAGTTATTGCTGAGTGACTGAACATAGAGCCAGGAATAATCCTTCAGTACTGCCTGATATGGTCCCTAAACAGAAAACCAAAACAAACTGCCATTAAAATTATATCATATGATAGGGTCAATTTCCAGAGCACCATGTATCAGAAATCAAAAATCATAAAACTAGGGCTGGAGCAATAGCACAGCGGGTAGGGTGTTTGCCTTGCACGCGGCCAACCTGGGGTTCGATTCCCAGAATCCCATATGGTCCCCCGAGCACTGTCAGGAGTAATTCCTGAGTGCAGAGCCAGGAGTAACCCCTTGAGCATCGCTGGGTGTGACCCAAAAAGCAAAAAAAAAAAAATCATAAAAATGTGATCTTCTTTATTATATGCAGATAAATACTTTTTTATCTTTCCAATGAATGGCCGGTCTAAGATTTTAACTCTGGTTTTTTAATTTTTTTCCTTATATCTTTACATATGGGGATCCTAGAGCCAGTAGTGAATTAGGTCTTTGGTTTTTAGAAAAATGACTTGATTAAATAAAAATTCTTCCCCAACATAAATAATTTAAATAACTTAAAACATCTGATTAGGAAAATAATTCTTTTTTTTTTATTATTAGTGAAACACCATGAGGTACAGTTGTAGATTTACAAATTTTTGTGCTTGGATCTCGGTCATACCACGATCAAATACCCATCCAGGAAAATAATTCTAAACCACAACTTGGGGAAAAGAGGTGAAGTTTTAAAATGATTTGTGTGTGTGTTTACTTGAGCACCCCTAATGGTGCTCCAGGCCTATTTCTGACTTAGTTCAGGAGTGATCTTTGACAGTGCTCAGGGACTACATGTGGTGCTGTGGATTAGAACTGGGATTGGTCAAATGCCATGCAAGTGCCTAACATCCTACCTGAAGCAAAGTTTTAGAAAAGAGATTCTCTAGGGAGTCAGGAAGACAACTAAAGGGGGTGTAGTACATGTGGAAAAGTATCACTGAAAAGGCTCTATAGAAAAAAATAGTATCTGGTGTTAAAATTAATATTAATGGGACTAAGGGTGCCTGGACGGCCCGCTCAGGATGGGAGGTGCTTGCTGAAAGTAGACTATAGACCAAATGATGATCACTCAATACCTCCATGGCAAACCATAACACCCAAAAGGAGAGAGAGAGAGCAACAGGGCATGCCCTGCCACAGAGGTGGGGTGTGGTGGTGGGAATTGGGTGGGGGTGGTGGGAGGGTTACTGGGACCATTGGTGGTAGAGAATGGGCACTGGTGGAGGGATGGCTTTTCGATCATTGTATGACTGAAACATAAGCACGAAAGTTTATAAGTATATAATGTACCTCACGATAATTCATTTAAAAAAAATTAATGGGACTGGAGAGATAGTTCAGGAGGTAGGGCGCTTGCTTTGCTCATGGTCAATCTGGGTTCCAATCCTCAGCCTCCCATATGGTTCTCCAAGTACCCCCAGGAGTAACCCCTGAGCATCACCAACTGTAGCTCTCAAACAAAAAATATATAATTGTGCTGCTTTTTGAGATGCTGTGAATACAACCTCCAACATTAAAATCAGGAAAAAAAAGGTATTCCAAAACTGAAGTGTGAAGTGAAGTTCTTTTGATAACCCATATCATTGTCTAAACTAGCATGGAAAATTGAGAAGTGGTGATAAATTGAAAATGCTTTTTAATATAAATCTGACACCCCTGCCTACACCCATGCTCATTTGTAAGCTGTGCCATCCATTAGCTACTACAGAATTAGAGGGTCACTTATTCTCAGTAATAAAACATCACCTCGATGCAAAGGAGAGGATGTGCGGAATTTTTATTTAATGTGGGAAGAAATTTTAGGCTATCAAATATTTTCTAGTTTTCCTATGTTATGTTAGGCTTTTTATTTTATTTCTCTGGGGTGGGGCGAAAGAGGGAGGGTAGGGCTCAGGAACTCTTTCTCATTCTGCGGGCTCTAGTGGGCCCTGATGGCATTTGAGTGGTCACCTGACAGGAAGGGGAAAGAACCAGGGTGAGGAGCACACAAGGCAGCACCTCACCTCTCACCCACGCTATAAATTATTTTTTTCTGCAGGGAGTCTTCAAAACTACTCTGCACTCTGAGCTGTCATTGGTAATACAACTATTTCCAAGTGATTTTCTCCACATTTTCTGATTCTTGGGAGAAGAGGTGTAGCAAAAAAGCTCAACTACTTGGGTTTAAATGATAAGTCATAATTGAGAATGCCTGCTTATTAAGATAAAAAATTATAGAGCCACAAATGAGTTTAGGGATGATGAGCTATAATTTCTTGCCCAACTCTTGTTCTATTGTGGAGAGGGGCAGCAGAACACATAGTCATGTTTATTTATTTTGTGCATTTTTTATTAGTTTAAGAATCAAAAGACCTTTTTTTAAAAAAAATTAATTTAATATTTTTCTTTTGAGTCACTGTGAGATACATGGTTATAAAGCTGTTCGTGATGGGTTTCAGTCTTACAATGTTCCAACACCCCTCCCTCCACCAGTGTACATTTCCCACCACCAATGACCCTAGTTTCCCTCCCATTACCCCTCAGCATGCCTCTATGGCAGGCACTTTAAAAAATATATATTTTTTAATGAATCATGGCCTGCACTTTTCTTCTCTCTCTTTCTTCCACAATTATTCTCTGTCTCTGTCTCTGTCTCTGTCTCTCTTTGTCTCTGTCTCTCTCTGTCTCTCTCTGTCTCTCTCTCTGTCTCTCTCTCTCTCTCTCTCTCTCTCTCTCTCATTGTAATAGCGTTTCCTTCTCTATTCCAACTCCCTTCTACCCCAAGACCTGAGTCAGGCTTTCAGCCGTAGGCCAACTCTCCTAGCCCATGATTCTACTGTCCTTTGATATTAGTCTCATACTATGCTTTTTATGTCCCACAAATGAGTTCAGTCATTCAATGTCCATCCCTCTCATTCTGACTCATTTCAATCAGCATGAAACTGTCCATGTCTGTCCATTTATAAGTGAATTGCATGATTTTATTTTTCTTAACAGTTGCATAGTATTCCATTGTGTAGATGTACCAGAGTTCCTTTATTTAGTTGTTTGTTCTCGGGCACTAGGTTGTTTCCAGATTCTGGCTATTGTGAGTAGTGCTACAATAAACATAGAAGTGCAGATTGTATTTCTGTTGTGTGTTTTTGGACCTCCAGGGTATATTTCAAGCAGTGGTTTTGCTGGATGATAAGGGAGCTCAATTTCTAGTCTATCGAGGAATGTCCATATTGTTTTCGAAAAAGGCTGGACCAGTCAGCATGCCCACCAACAATGAATGAGATCCCCTTTCTCCCCACATCCCTGCCAGCACCGGTTGCTTTTGTTCTTTTTTGATGTGTGCCAATCTCTGTGGTATGAGATGATATCTCATTGTTGTTTTGATTTGCATCTCCCTGATGATTAGTGATGTCGAACATTTTTTCTTTATGTGCCTTTTAGCTAGTTGAGTTTCATCTGTAAAGTTGCCTTCAAAGAACTTTTTAAACTGTTTTGTTTCTGGTTTAGGGGCCACTCTAGGCTGTGCTCAGTGCTTCTTCCTGGTTCTCTGCTCAGGGATCATTCCTGAAAGGGCTGTGGGAATCATATGGGATATTGGTGGTCAAATTGAGTTGACCCTGTGCAAGGTAAATGCCTTAACTTTTATGTTATTTCTCTAGCCCCCAAAGACCACCGGTTTTAACTAAACCTATTTTTCTATATAACTCCAAACTTGACTTACTTTTTTCATTAGGAACACAGACCCTTAGACATTTACCTTGGATACAGTAATTATTTTTTGTTTTACAGTATAAGGAACCAAGTCAAGGTGTAATTGAGAAGATAGGCCATCGATATCAAAATCCTTGGTAAGTACATATTAATATATTTTATTTTCTTTTTTCCCCACCCAGTAGTGCTTTATTTCTGGCTCTGTGCTCAATGATAGCTCCTGTTGGGATTGGGGAATCATAGAGGGGTGCCAGGAATTAAACCCTTATCAACCACATGCAAGGCAAACACCCTATACGCTGTATGATGTCTCTGGTCCCAGGGTTAACTTTTTAAAATTTCCCTTGCCTTTCACATTTTGGCTGTCGTTTGTTCTTTTGAGGGGCCACGCCTTGTGTGGCTCAGCTGTTACTCCCAGCTTGGTTCTTGGGGGCTGCTCTGAAGGTCACGCAGAGATCTGGCATACAAAACAAGCCCTGTGAACTGTCACCAGTGTCTCTCTTCATTTCTTTATTCCTTTTGTTTTGAGAAGGGACTCCCCAGCAGTGCTCCAGAGGCTGAGGGCTATTCCTAACGAGACTGGGCCCTGCTTTGGGAATTGATTATCATTGCTCTTTCAAGACCACAGATTCAGTAATGTCTGTTTGCAACCCTTAGATATTTGGAGGTGAGGTTTACTAAAGTCCATTTCATCTCATTTTTGTTTTTGAAAGACACAGCTATTTGCGTGTGCAAAACTAACAAATTTTAGAAGTCTCAATGCTCAGGCCAGTCAAGCCATGGGGCCAAGGCCGAGCAGTACTGGACCACGAGTACTACCCCAGGGGAGCTCAGGAGAGCCATATGGTAGGAAGGATGGATCTCAAGCCTTACGCATATGCGTGAACTCCAGGCCTTGAGTTATCACCCCAACCCTATTTTTTTAACTGGCTTTGGGGCCATACCTGGCAGTGATCAGGGCTTACTCCAAGTTCTGTGCTTAAACATCACTCCTGTCAGGCATCAGAGGGACAATACAGAGTTCCAGGGATCAAAGCCAGGTCATTTATGTGTCCCAAGACAAATGCCTTAGCCACTGTATTATCTCTCTGACTCCGGCCCCTTTCTTTTCTGATTCCATATAGTTTGTCTGTAAAATTAATATTTTTATGTCTAATAAAGGTATAAAATTTTCTTTATCGACTAACTTTTAATTAAGGGAGGCATAGATGAAAGTAAGAAACTGTCAAAATAAAAATAGAACCAAGCCTGTTATTAAGAATAACAACTGGACGAGTAGGTTGGCTTTAGCTACATAAATAATTCTCTCAGTGGAAAAAAAAAACCAACGCAAAATATTTTTTTGTTGTTGTTACAAAGATATCACTTCATGCTGTCTGCCCAGAAACCTTCATAATGGGTAATCGTGGTTAATAAAAGCAGTCCGGCTGAAGTCACATAATTGCTTGAATCCATGCTATCTTAAGAAGGCACCTAACGTATCTGTATTAAACATGTCTAACTCAAGGTGTGCCAAATTATGGGGAAAGAACAAAACATGGGCTTGTCAACGTCTAGAGGCAACATGGACTTTCGGTTTCTAAGAGGCAGGAATCAATCACTATTGCTCTTTTGAGGCCACAGATTCAATGATGTCTGTTTTCACCCTGAGAATTTTGGAGGTGAGGTTTACTAAAGACGCTTTCATCTCATTTTCGTTTCTAATGGTTGAAAGACACAGCTCTTCATGTGTGCAAAACTAACAAATTTTAGTCTTTTTCTGCTACACCACAAGGATGAACTGCACCGACAAAAGACAAGTCTTCCAACATTCCATGAAAGCCTCAAAGTGACTACAAAATAATTCTTGGGCTGTGAGGAGCTCATTGGGAAATTAGTTCAACTGACAAGGCATGCCTGATATTTTAAAGCACAGGAAAAAGTCATAATCCATTATCTGCAAAGTGTATGTTCTGATTAGCATACTGTACTTCAGTTTTTCAGATAATATTGCAGGCATCTATCTGAAAATCCCCATCCAATTATTTCCAAGCTAGGAAATGCATTGAGGGTTACTGAAAAAGTAACTTCTGCAAGCATGGATGATAGAAGTGTGAGAATCTACTATATTTATTTAAACATCAAATGTGGGGTTTTAGAGAAAGTATCTGAGAAACAATGGTGTTTGCACATTTTTCTTGGATAAAAGAATGTTGGTTATATTCACTTCTAGGAAATATATGGATTATGCCGCATAATGAGTATGAGAAATATTTATGTAAATATCTCCTACTTAGGGGATTATGGATTCATCTGGAAATTGGGTTTATGTGTATGTGAAGAAAAATAACAAAACCAATTTCTACATATCGAGTGACAAATTATTAGGGAAGACAATTGTAGCACTGTAGCACTGTCCTCTCGTTGTTCATCGATTTGCTCGAGCAGGCACCAGTAATGTCTCCATTGTGAGACTTGTTGTTACTGTGTTTGGCATATGGAATATGCCATGGGGAGTTTGCCAGGCTCTGCAGTGCGGGTGGGATACTCTCGGTAGCTTGCCGGGGACCATATGGGATGCTGGTGATCGAACCCAGGAAGAATCAAACTTGGGTCGGCCACATGCAAGGCAAAAGCCCTATCCGCTGTGCTATTCGCTCCAGCCCAAGTATAGTATCTGGGAAGACAATTGCAACTAGAAAACAAATTTAATTCAAAAATCTACGGATGACCTTCTGGACTTAACTGTGGTTTCTGCCTTTTATTTATTTTTTTTATTAATTGGTTTGTGTGTTGGGAGGAAGAGGGGGAATGGGACTAGACCACACCCGGCTGTGTTTAGGATTCACTTCAGGCTCTGTACTCAGACATCACTCCTGGTGGTACAGGGACCATATGTGGCGGTTGGCAGCATGAAAAGCAAGCGCCTTAACCCCTGTACTATCTTTACTATCTCTCCAGCCCATCATGTCTTATTTCTAGCTAGTGATATGCCAACGCCCTAAATACTTCTTCCCTCTTGACATTAAAATCATACCTAAGCTTAGAGGCTTCCCTACATCACTCTTGAACTAGAAAGATGCTCTTGAACAGAATGTGCCCCACCCCCTTTCCTTTGTGGACTTGGTCTGAGGGGCATCTTGCCTCTGGAAAGATCTGTGCTTAGCTCCCAGTTCTCAGTCAATGGTGCTCACTCAATTAATTCAACCTATCCAGGGTTGGAAGCTTAGATTCTGTTGCCTCAGCGGTGAACGAGACAAACCTAAGATATGCTTTTCTTTAAACTGGTATCTTTTATTTATTCATTTTTGGGTTTTTTTGGGGTCACACCCAGCCATGCTCCAGGCTTATTCCTGGCTAGTTCTGCGCTCAGAGATCACTCTTGGTGGGCTCAGGAACCATATGGGATGACGAGGATTGAATTTAGGTTGCTTCACTTTTTATAGCCCTATCTGCCACACACTCTTAAAGCCCCTAAATTGGCTTCCTTTTTTGTTTCGGTTTTGGGACCGCAGCCAGTGATGCTCAGGGTTTACTTCTGGTTCATTTGAGTTTCAGGCCTACAGTTTTCCAGCACCAGTTCCATCACCAGTGTCCACTTCCCTCCACTCATGTTCCCGGTTCCCTCCCAACTCCCCACCCCTGCCTGCTTCCAAGAAAGGCACATTTTTAAGTTTTGTTGTTGAACTTTGGGTTTCCTGCTTACAGTGTGTTTGGCTCTGAGTTTTAGATATATGCATACACCACACTTCTATACCAGCAATGTGCCCAGGCCTTCTTTTTTAATTTTTATAGGTGTCTTTAAATGACAGGGTTGAGGATATAGCTCACCAGTAAAGCACATGCCTTATATGCATAAGGCCCTGGATTTGATTCCCCACACTGTAAAAACAAACCTAATTCATGCATTTGTGTTTGTGGCTACAAATCAAACAAGATAGAGTCCTATTAAGAAAAAGTTGATATGCTGCCCTAGTCTAACAGATCATGATAAAGTATTTCATGACAAAGCGCATTTATGGGCTGTGGAAAGAGGTTTCTCTAGAAGCTACCCGGACAGAGGGTCAGAGAAGGTTCCCCAGGAAGTCACTGTTAACCTGGCTTTGGAGAAGTTTGGAGATCATCCTGAGGAGGGAAGCAGTGTGAGCTGGGCAAGAGTCCATCCAATTAGGACTAGTGCAACTATGGACAGGTGGCAAGGTGAGGGTCAGATTTCACTGAACCTTATCAGGCTAAATTTTGATTTTGGTGTAAGAACTATAATAATTCAATGGGATATTTTAAAATAAGAAGCAAATGTCAGTTGTTGGAGGGTTTGTGTGTTGGGTTTTTGTTTGTTTGTTTGTTTGTTTGAGTTTAGTGATGGACACACACTTCGCGTGGAGAAGGCCTTGGGTTTCATCTGAGGTACTAAGAACAAACAAACGAAATATCACTCTGGAATGTTGGAGTGCTGTGTGGAAAAAGAACTGAAAGGCAGCAAGAATAGCTGCTGGAAAATCAGCCCAGAGTCCACTTCATATTTAATTAGGCCTGCCTTGAGATTTTAGTGCACTTTACAAAGAAGCCAAATAAATTATGTTTTCAGGACCTGTGAGAAGGAAGGATTTGTGCTGGACTTTCAAAGAAAGTGAGGCCTTCAGTGAGTGGAGGAGAACTGGAGACAATATTTGCTGCAATGCTGAGCATCAGATGACATGTATCTGAATAGCATCTCTATTTTGCAGGTGAAGACATTAAATTTCAGAGGTTAAGTTGCAAGATCAAGGTAAACAGGGCTTATATGACAGTCCAAGTTGACTGATTCATTTGATCTGAGCCTGGATCTGGGCTTGAGTCATTTATTTATTTATTTATTTATTTATTTATTTTCACTCTACCTAGCAGTGTGTGGGGGCTACTCCTGACTAGGGGTTAGGGGTTGAATTCGGTGGTGCTCAGGAGACCTTGTGGTGCCAGGGATTGAATAGGGCTTCTGCATGCAAAGCTTGGTTCAAGCTCTTGATAAATCCTCCTGGCCCTGGGGTTGGACATTTTTAAAGTGGTAGTAAGTGACTCTGCTACATCCATAATACCCAAAAGGAGAGAGAGAGGGAGAGAGAGAGAGGGAGAGAGAGAGAGAGAGAGTAAAAAGGACTGTGCCTGTCACAGAGGCAGT